GTGTGGGTGTGGGTGTCGGTGTGGGTATCGGTGTCGGTGTGTGAGTATGGATGGGGGGGGGTGTCAGTGGATGTGGGTGTGGATGCAAATAAAGAATGAACCAATATCCACATCCACTGTCGACATTTTGCTACTTTCCCGTTTATTCGCTCGCAAGGAAAGAAGTACAGAATATCACACAAAGAGATCGCACTTCATTCAAGTTTCAAGCAAAACAAACGAAAATCAGCTGCTGATCTTCTCGACGTCGGCATTTTCTGCATATTCTTTCACTGTCTCTTCTATTCCTTCAAGCCATTTGCGATACTGAATAACCGAACGGTGATCAGCTGGAAGAGTGGAGCAACGACTTGTGTAGGCAATTTTCATGTGTTCCAACGCTTCATTAAGTTTCTCTTGATAATAGAGCGCTCTGGCGAGACTGAAACGGTGCAGTATTAAATCTTCATGGTCCGCTGGAAGTGACTTTGCTTCAGTTTCAACTCTTTTTCTCAAAAACACTTCTGCGCGCGCGTAATCTTCCTCTGAATAACTGAGCTGACCTTCTAATTCATCCAGCCACTCTTGTCCGTTTATCGAACGTGTATGATCGGCTGGGAGAGTGAGAGAGTTTATTTTGCATGCAATTCTTATATGTTCGAGCGCTTCTTTCAATTTCTCTTGTCCGAAGAGTGCTCTTGACAAATTGGTGTGGGTAATGGCAAATTCTGGATGGTTCTCTGGCAGAGAAGTCATTTGCAATTGCAGAGCTTTATTACCGTGAAGAATGGCTTCGTCGTATTTCATATGCTCGAAGTAAAGGACAGCGATGTTATTGTAGATAGTTGCAATGCTAGGATGATTAGCTGGAAGATGTTTTAGGTAGAGTGCGAGAGCTGCTTCATATGCAGGAAGTGCTTCTTCAAAGCGTTTTTCCTCGCGGAATGCTTCTGCGATATTATTGTAATAGTGAGCAAGATTAGTTTCATTTGGAGCTGGACTACTTAGTTCAATATGCAGCGCCTTCTCATAAACGGCTAGTGCCTTTTCGTGTTCCCCAGCACTATCATACAGAGCGCCCATATTACTATGGAGAGTTGCGAGAGTAGAGGCTGTCTCAGGTTGCAGCTGAATCGATTTCTCATAGTGTTCCATTGCTCTCTCTTTATCTCCAGTATGATGATAGATGAGACCGAGAGTGTTGTGCACACCCGCAAGAGTCATCCAATTGTTAGTAACCGCATCGTCTTCCAGCAGACGGAAGCAGAATTGTTTCGCTCTTTTGTAGTCTCCCATTTCCAGTAAAAGTTTCGCCAAACTATTCAAAGGACTCACGACAAGGATTTTCTCCCGCATATAATCTGTTAGCTGTCGAAGTTCATTGTCTTCCTCACCGGTCAACTTGAGTATGACAGTCCACAGACCCGGCTCTACTTCGCTGAGTGATTCTATTCGGAATAAAGCGCCCATGCTAAACAAGGTTTCTTTTTCAGTTTCAGCAAATGCACTTATCGACGAAATGTCTGCGTAGGGAAACTTGTTGACAGTGCTGTCAATGTTAATTTGGAACAGAACGCTTTGTTCCTCTTCCCGTCTACTTCCATCACCAGCATATCGGCGAGCTAAGTCTCTATCTAGCGTTGTGGAGAGAAAACCGCTCACAGAGAAGAAGCCACCCAGGTTACTTCGAATTCTCTTGTCAAATTCCTTATTTCTCATCAACTGACCTCGATAGACAGTGGTCACTACTGCGAACTGCTGAGCGGCACTGTGTAACTCCTGTAACTGTAAATGAAGATCTTTGATGAAGTATCGGATCGAATAGAGTGTGTCGATGTCTTGTTCGAGCAGAGCTTTGTTTAACATTCGATAGAGAAAGATATCTCGAGTATACCAAAAGATAGCCTTATCTGCTTCGTACCAATCCTCGAATTCCGTGATGTGGTTCAGTTCTGTTTCATTATCTGCGTATTTCTCGCGACAGAAGTCAATCATTTCTTCTACGCTTGACCCAAGGTCCACTAAAATTTTTCTCAAAAGAGAGGCATATAGAAACTGCGCTTCTTGTCTTTTCGTTGTGGTTGGCACCGTAAGTAGAAGCATTCTCGACAAAAATGGTGTAGCAGCTATACTTTCGCACGACGGCAGTTCAAGAAGATCATTAGTGCTTAGAGTTGAATCATAGTCCCCGCGAATAGGAAGGCGCTGTCGTTGTACTTTTGGTAGGTTCTCTAGCTGGCTGCATAATGACGAAAGATCCGCATATATTCCACCGCGTTCAGTGGAATAATAAACTAGAAGCCCTCCCTTGTCATTTGCTGTCGGAGAGCATAGAATATAGACTAATGCAACTTGAGAAAGTTGCTCACAAACTTGTAAAATTGCTATGATAGACGAAAAAGTATCAATTGAAATAATGAGGAGAACCTTCGTATCATCTTCGTGAAGATTTGTAATATAGTCAATGCACCTGTCTGCATCTCGAAACGCGATCAAGTAGGGAGCACTTCTACAGAGCTGAATAAATGATGACTGAGCAGTTGTGCTATCGTTAGTTAGATCAAGCCAAGTGACAGTGAGGAATGCTTCTTGTGACATTCACCCTGAGTTTCAGTCGGCTACTGTAGCTAGACTGGAAATGAATGATGATGCTGTCGTTCAAGAAAAGTGGGTTTCGAAGTAAAACGAGGAGACAATATCTGAAAAAGAAAGTTGTTGTGTTTTCTTTTACCTTCTTTTTTTGCGACTGGACTGAAGTCGTTTGGTGTTAAATAGGGGGTGAACGAAAAGTGATTTGGCAAAATACTTGTTTCCTTTTCATCTGCTAGAAAGTATTTCCAACGAGTCAAAAGCTATTAGGAAGGACCAGAATTTTATTCTCTCTTCGAATATGAGCCTAGAAATGTTGTCTCAGTTTTTGTTCGAGAGCAGTGAAATAATCTTTGAAGAGCCCAAAAAATTAGTTTGGACGGAAAAGTTTTTTCGAACATTTTTTGTATGTTCACTATTGCGATTCGAAAACTAAAAGTTGAATTTTTATCAGCTTGTATATCAGAAGCTACGCTACAAAATGCACCATTTGAGGCTATTTTGTTTTTCGACAAGGCGCTTCAATTTTCGTTTTCCCTCTATACTCATTTTCGAAAAATCGACTTTTTGACCATAAACAGTTTTACGTTGAACGAAGCCCTTGACAAAATGCTCGTAGCTTCAGTTGTGTAAAAGCTACATCATAATTCAATATCACATTTTGCAGAGAAGTGTTTTCTCTACAAACGACGGACTCCGACAATTTTTAACATGTTCGAAAAGGGACTGATAGAGTAAACAAAAACCTGTTTTTTCACCATTAAAAATAATTTTTCAGACCTTTCAAAAGCCCCTCACTATTCTGGAACCGAAACAGGCACAACATTTTAAAACCCATATTCAAAAGGAGGACAAAACTTTTGGTCGCTTTCTATAGTTTTTGGCTGGCCTGAAATACTTTCAAGTAGGTCGAAGTAAACAAAGATGTTTATCGGAAACTTCGGCTCACAAGTTCCGCTCAAACTAAATTTTTGAACTTTTGAAAGAATACTTCACTACTCGCGAACAAAAACTAGACAACATTTCTAAACTCATATGCAAAAAGCGCACAAAATTCTGGTCCTAACTCATAGCTTTTGACTCGTTGGAAATGCTTTCTAGGAGATTACAAGTGCACAAACATTTTGTCCAAATACTTTTCGATCACTCGCTATGTACTATGTAGGAAAAAAACAAGTGATTATTGTGAAGTAACACTAACAACAACACACACCGAAGCAGGAGAAGAGGAGTAGGAGCGAGAAAAAGAATTGCAACGTCATGATGGTACAGGTGAAGACACGTGTTTTAGGACATAAAAAGAAATAGAGGCAAAGCAATATTATTAACGTATAAGAATGAAAAGAAAGCTTTTTTTGCTTCATATGTTCTCTTTCTCAGTAGTATCAAATCTGAAAGCTGAATTCAGTTATTGAAAATCTACTTCAACTATTCAATTATTCACTTTTCAGAAGCGCTGGATGATTGATTTAACAATTTAGAGTCAGCAATAAAGGTTAAGTATGGATTTACGGTGTGGGTGTGTGTATGAGTCTTATCGTCAATTGTTTCCCCTCCCTTACTCTCATCTATCCCGATCTACACCCATACCCACACCCACACCCTACTATGTTTCGTTCGAAGATGAGTAGTGTCCTTCTTGTAAAATTGTTTGGCTACTTCTGGATCCTTCGTTGTCAACATAAATGTTTTATTCCTTATTCTCCTTTCGATACTATATTGTTTAAGATCATCTTGTGATTTTCATGCCACAATAAACTATTCCTTTGAACGACAGTCTTGATAATTCTGGATGGTTGTAGAAAAAGGTGATGAAATAAATAATACCGGAGTTAGTGTCCTGATTGAAATGCTTCGTCGCTAAATATGTGTTCAGTTTTTTTATTAAAATTCGATTCAACCGTATACGCTTTTAAGAGACAGACAGGATCGTTTGTCAATTCAACGCCATTAAGACATTTGCGGACTCGTTCATCGTCTGTATGAGCCATTTCTTCTTCCAACCGAATCCTGCATGGTGAAAACGATATTCTTTTGCTAATTTCTCAACCGCATCATCACATTTCATCCAATCAATGGGACCAGATCCATCATCAGTAAATCTATTTGATGACTCACGAAGGAATAATTTTATTTTCTCCTCTTTTCTTGCTTCATCATATGGTAAATGCTTGTGCACATTCTGTATAGAACGACTAGCGCCTCTTTTCAATAATAATTTCACAATTTCTACAAGACTATATTAACACGCCGCATGTAAAGCAGTAGAACCATTCGATTGAATTTGATCTATTTCCTCTAGAGTCATTTTGGATAATGCTTCACGAATTTCATCTGCTTTCCCGTTACGGCATCCATAATAGAATTGGCTTGTTATGGATGATTGATCTAAGATTTGTTTTTTTCCAAAAGAGCACGAGTTAACAATATAAAATCCAAAGAGAAGTCATGATATCACGAACTATATGAGATATTCCATACAGAAGTTTTTAATTTTGTTTGCTCATTCATTGTATCATGAGACACAATGAACAATCTCATAGTTTTAGCATATAATACCCATTCCTCAGAAAGTAAGTCAAATCTCATCCATTCCTTAGCACAATAAAAAAGCTTAGAGAGTAAAAATTTGAGGACCTGTCTGTTAATATAACAGATACTTATTTTTCATTGACATTTTTACTATTCACTTGCCGGATGAATCTGATTGTTTGGTACATGCATTACAGAATTCTGGTTGTTCAGATCTTTTATCGGTGAGGAACAGTGATGGGATCGGTTCGTGTTTTTTTTGAACCGAACCGAATCGAACCGAAAAGGTTTTAAACCGAACCGAACGGAACCGACCGATTTTTTAAAAATTTGAAACCGAACCGAACCGAACCGAAAAAGTTTCAAACCGAACCGAACCGGACCGAACCGAACCGAACCGAACTGAACCGAATGAAATTTAAATGTCTTAAATATCTTAGAAAGATCAAAATATTATTAGAGTATCTGCTTCTCTCTTAAAATGATATTTTATGTGCATGTCATATATATATATATATCTTTATTTATATACATTAAGTAAAAAGAAAACATTACAATTATTTAAAAAAGTGACAACAACGCTACAATTTATTTTTTTATTTATTGTTACTTGTGTTACTAAATCGCTGTTTGTACGTATTGAATGAATGATTGAAAACAATCTCATTAACTGTATCTGGTGATAGTCTTGCACGCTTTTGCGTAATAATGTTACCAGCGAAACTGAATTCACGTTCGACGGCTGCGCTAGTAGCTGGTACACCTAAAACTCGAGCAGCAACCTTTGCCAAAATAGGATACGAACCATGTGTATTCTTCCAAAATGCCAGAGGATTAAATTCTTCGTTTTCTTGGGCAGAATCTGTTGTTATTGTCGTTTTATCAAAACCATGTTTTAAATATAAATTGATTTCGTTCATGTGTGATGCAGCTTTTGATAGTTTATGTTGATCAGCATAATCTTCATCGTCATTTTCTGTATTTAAATAAAATTCTGTCATATATGTACATGTAGTGTTTACCAAACATTGTTTCTTTTTTGGAGGTGATTGACTATGCTGATCAATATCCATAATAAGCATTTCATGCTTAACGTATTCGATGCATTCTTCTTGTTGTTTTGGTGATAAGTGCTTCATTTTCCTAGTTTTAGGATTAAAGAAAGTTCCCATAAGATGTATAGGATGGAAAGAAATTTTTTCTTTTATGGCTTGTTTCGCTCGTTGACGAAAAAACACCATACCTGTAAAAATAAGACACAAAATTATTTCTCAAATTAGTAGTGAACCTTAAAAAGATAAACCTTTGTCTTGTTTAGCATCGTTTGATTTTATTTCTAATGAGGAGTTAATTATATATATACTTGGTGTAACTGTATGAATTGATGGAATTAAAGAAGATTGAATACGTTTCATCACGTTCATCCAAGGTTTTAAAAAATTTATCATTTTATCCAAAATAGATATATTAATTATATTGATTCTTCTTTTGTTCAATTTTTTTTCATCAAATATTTCGACTAATGGGTTTAAAGATTGTCGAACACTCTGTAAGCAATAATATAGAGAGAGCCATCTGACAATTGTACATTGAATTAAAACACCAGCATCTCTATTCTCGAGTTCTTGATTCAAATTTACCTGAGAAAAAGAAAAACATTGTTTCTTCAATTATTTCGATTTTCTTAGTTCCCTAAGCTACTAATAAAATGGTCTTAGTATTGAATTTACCTTCTTAATATATTTAACAAGTTCTTTACACTGGATAATAGTTACTAAAACGCGTTTTGCATCAGCTGATAGTTGAGCAAGAACAGTACTTGGATTATTTCGAGTAGATGCTGTGGATACATAACTAACAACTTCGGTTCGTATATCAATCAATTGTTCATCGTCGCAAGATTCTTCAATTTCTTCACTTTCACTAATTTGATCATCTTGATCTTCAACTGCATTAGTATAATAATCACCAAATGCTACATCTTTCTTCACTTTATTAATTTCAGCTTGATAAAATGTATATTGCAATACGTTATTTAATCGGTGTGCAACGCAATGCACAACAGTGAACTTCTCCAATGCTTTCTTCAGATTACTTCCTCTGTCACACACCCAAATAACATCGTACATAAAATGTTGTAAATCATAGAGTGCTAATCCTTCTTCAATTACCTACACAATTATATAAGAATGAATTAAAGTTCGTATTGAGAAAATGAAAGATTTACCTGAATTATATTTGCCGAGTTTTTGTTAGGTTTTCGATATGGTAAACAAAACAATTCAAACGTACATAAATTCCAGTCTTCATCGACCCATTGAGCTGTACATCCTAAATAGGACATCTTCTTATAACCATCTGACCATAAATCAGGCGACAAAGATAAACGTCGTTGATGTGCTGCTGATATAAGAACAGTCTTCATTTCATTTCGACCAATATTTGCATTTTTTTTAATTTCTTTTGTTAATGTTTTACGACAAGGTAAAAGAGATGAAGCAGAAATAGGCCCACATGTATAACCTATAAAATAAATGACAAAAAAATAGTTAGAAATTTTAAAAACTTTACCTATTTGAATACATTGATTCATTATATTTTTTAAACCGCTATCTTCAACTATACTGATTGGTCGCATACTTGAACATACCCAATCGCTTAGTGAAGTGACAAATAAACTTTTTTGTTTTTCAGAAGCTTTATTATCTTTTGCATTAGCTGCAGCTACTTTATTTGAAAGAAATGGAGATATACATGACGTTGAACTTGATACCGGGAAAGTTTCTAATGTGGATTGATTTTTATTCAGCAGCATCGGACATTTATGATTTGATAATGTTGTTGTTGATGATGAATAAGAATAGGTTTGATAGCAACTTTTACAAGAAGCAAATTTTTTTATTATTTCATATTTGTTCTTGCCTACTATTTTAGCAGGCAATCCAAAAACAGACCAGCATGGTGCAATTGATTTTTTTTCAATAATAGAAACTGTTTTAAAACTATGTCAATTTTATTAAAAGACATCTTTATCTTTCAATTATATTTTATGTACTCAGTAACTTCCTTGCTATTCATGTTATTTTATATTGTTGTTTTTTATATTTAAGACAAAGTGTAACACTTTCGGTAGTATAATTTACAATATTGTCGGATACTACACAAATGTCAGTATTTATTGCTTGATTTGATGAAGATGAAGATGATGAACAGTCTAATGCAGTCGATGAAGAAGGTGATAGAACATCAAATGATATTGATGAAGATGTAGAATGTTTCATTATTGTTAAATCATTGAAATCTTTCACAGGTTCGATATTCTCTAAAAATAAGATCACCTAAAAAAGAAATAAACTATTATAATATAGAACTATTAAAGAATGTTTGAAGAAAAAGAAAACAACAAATAGCCTGAAGAAAAAAAGAATACAGAAAACAAATACTTTGCTTTGCTTTGCCTATGGGGTTCGTTATTCGTTCATATGAGTAGCCAATCAGAAACGCACTAAAAGTATATATACATATATGTTATTGTTTTTAGCGACGTCTATTTTTAACATGAGTGTATGTTTTCTTTGTTTTACTTTTCTCATAAGGAGAAAAAATCTATTGAGTGAAAATAAATAAATCGGTTTTGAACGACTTCGAATCGAACCGAACCGAACCGAAAATTCTTTTAACCGAACCGAACAGAACCGACCGATTTTTCGAAAATTTCGAACCGAACCGATTTCGGTTCGGTTCGGTTCGGTTCGGTTCGGTTCGGTTCGGTTCGGTTCGGTTCGAAACCGAACCGGTCCCATCACTGGTGAGGAATAAGGGAGGAGAAGACTTACTTCTCGAAAGTAACTGTGAGTTTCAAAAAATACTAATCAATGCTCTATAACAGTTGGAGATGATTGCACATCAGCAGATCATTGAAAATTTTTATGCTACATACTCGAAAATGAAAAACATAAGAAAGACAACATGAGTTCAAACCAATGCTTTTCCACAGTTTCAAATTTCTAATTTAAAGTCACGAATCACAAATTGTGTATCAGTATCGGACAGTTTTAATTTGAATTATGTTTATATATATAAAAGCTGTCAGATTACAAGACTAACACATAGAGAGGCTTGTCGCCTTCATGATAATTTTAAAGTAGCGGGTGTGGGTGTGGGTGTTTGGTTCAAAGGATAAAAAGCACATACAACTACATCCACACTCTTAGCACTGACAAAACCAAAACGAAACACAACCTACATATCGAAATCTTAAGAAATATTCAACC